ATTTGATTGTGTTTATCTGCAGTTAGTTACACGAATTCAGATATGGGATGAAATCGGATAGGGATGAACGAGTTTAAGAGTTTTTAAGAGTTTAAGAGTTTTAAGAGTTTAAGAGTTTTTAAGAGTTTAAGAGTTTTAAGAGTTTTTAAGAGTTTAAGAGTTTTAAGAGTTTAAGAGTTTTTAAGAGTTTTAGCCAAATGCTTTATAATATAGTATAGATAATATTAACTACTTATTTATCCTACACATTTAATTTCAATACCTCTTATTGGTGAAAGTAAATTAAAATATTATTTCTCTTTCTTTTATAAAGTTTTAAATATTTCTCCAGATTTGGATATTTTCACCTTATCTCTCTTCTTTTTCTTTATTTTAGCAAATCATCCAGTATAGCTATTAGAGCAAAAAAATTCATAAATCTTCAATAAATATTTACCTTAACATAACTGTTATAGATGCTCGTTTATACTAAAACCTAAGAATTACTAAGGTAAAATTGGATAAAAAAAAGTAAAAAGACAATCAAATAAGTTTTATAGAAAAACGTAGGTCAAACTGTGGCGTGCCACAAGCTTAGAAAAGATTAGATTCAAACCTGAAGAAGGGAAATGGTCACATAAACCAATTTTACCATACGAAACTTATGTCATTATTGTAATTTCAATAATATAAGGGCGTTCAACGAAACAATACAGTAGTCCCTTTCAGAATGCAATTTATTTCCATTGCATCAAAGTTATGAAGCAATATTAAGTTCCACTAAATGCCCTTAAGCAGGGTAGCCCTGTCCACCTTGGGTTTGATATGCTAAGTCTTCAAGACTCTTCATGATTGCTCCATTATCTTCTGAGATCATTAATTCAGATGCATACAAGCTGACTTAGGGGCTGTTTACCAAACGTTTATCCGAGTAAGTGCTTATCAAGTCACATTACCTTACCGGATGAATATGATAAAGACCAAGAAACTTACCCAGTAAGAGCGAGACAAGGACCAATAGTCTTATTCGGTAAGTGAAGACGACGACTCTTACCATGGTAAGTGCTTACCAGGTAAATTGTTGCATACGATGTCATTTTAGTGGACTAAAATCTTATTTGACAAGTAAATAATAGTGTTAAATTTTTTCGGTAAGCGCTTACCGGGTAAATGTTTGGTAAACGGCCCCTTAAATATCTATCATTAATTTTTTTTTTACCAAATTATGAATTGTCGCATTAATAAAATTCCAACTTACTGTTTAAACCATGGTTACTATTTCACCAACTTGATATTATGGTTACATGTGTTTATCGAGTTTGCATATGTCCATCATGTAATAATACTTCATACCAGCTCGTTGGTTTTTATCATCACTTTCGCACGTTTAATTGTCGACCCAATCAATCTTTTAATCGTCATAACTTTTGATTCTTTTATTTGTTAAAAGAAAAGGAGAATATATAAATCCCATTTTGGTGCTTCATTTGAATGTAGGTATCTCCTGTTGTCATTGCACACCAACCACGATCCTCTCTTTCTTTGTGGTCCACCATCGCTTTCGCCTTCAGCGACCCATCCGAAGTTCGTTGGAACTCCAACACCCACATCTTTGAGGTCTCGTTTGGTTTGGGGGTCGGAGGGATTTGTGAATTGAATTTCATTCCAATTTCATGGTTGGTTTGAAGGATTTCAGGGATTTGAAATCCCACAAACATAGAATTTTGAAATCTCACGTTGGTAGTTGGTATTTCATGAGATTTCATAGGATTTGTATGTAATCTATCTATCTATTTGTCTATATATATATATATACACACACACACACATACATTAAAGGAAGAACCAAATGATTGTTCAATGAGAAGTTTTCTATCATTTTTATCTTTTTTTCACATGATTTATTTTTAATATACAATCAACGCATTAATTGCTAACACTTTCATTTTTCCTATTTTTTAACTCCATTTTCCTTATTCTATAAAGAAAATTTGAATCCACAAATATATAAAACTATATATAATTTTATTTACATAAATATATGCATATTTTTAATTACATGACAATTGAAAAAATAAATTATCAAAATTAAA